AAGGGTGTGGTTTCGAAACCCATAGTCTTCGTTTATTTTAAATGTTTAGTTCTTTTTTAAATTAAGATTTTACAAATTAATAAGAATTAAATAAGAAAGTAAATATGTCCTACATAACAAAATCTTCAAAAGACGCAAAATTTTCAGACAATTATAACGAAATAATTAAGAATTTAAGCCTAATTTTAGATGCCAATGAAACCGATGAAACTAAAAAGAAAAGTAAAAAACTCAAAACTCTTTTATCAGAAACCAAACAAATAGTAACTGAAAAAGAGGAAAAAGAAAAAGAAGTCCAAGCCAAAGTTGAGGAAAAAAAAGAAGCGAGCAACATTATTCCTCTATTAACCGGAGTTAAAAGAGAAAAAGCCCGATTCACAACCGCCCAAACTACTCCAAATGGAAACTGAGTGGCCAATGATAAGACTGGTTGAACTGCCAGTTGAGATGCTTTTATAGGAACCGGAACTAATCCTTGACGAGGTTCTGGGTGAAATGCCGCAATAACGGCTCACTACCCCTCTACTTACAAGGACAACTTGTATAAAATCAAGAACCAAACCTTCCAAACTACGGAAGAACAAGCAATCCAATTATTAGCCCGAGTAATTTATGAACTAGGCAAGATTGATAAGGCTGATTTAATAAGTAAACATGGACTAACTGGCACAGATAAAACCAACTTGGAAAATTGATACGACCATATCAAAATTCAATCAGATGCCATTGAAGCGATGAATAAAGATTTAACCATCAAAACTTGGGATTTACCGCAAACTTACACCCAAGAACAGGCTATAGGAACTAATACTCCACGCTCAAACATTTTAGATTTTGACCAGGTTTTCAACTTCTTGGAAAAATTGGATGATACTTTAATCAACAAACTAAAACAAGATGACATTACCAAATTGGAAACTTGAAAAATAGCCAAACAAGGCCAAGCCTACACGGCCGATGAACTAGAAACTTATGGCATTCTTTTAGCCGACAAAACCAAAACCACTCTTTACAAATCCACCAAACAAAAAGGAGGCAGATGAGTGAAAGACGAGTATGAAGTAAAAATAAGGCAGGGCTTAAAAGATTGAGCTGAGTTGGCTAAACTAATTTGGGCGGATGCGGATAACAAAACCAAAATCAAAGCCTCCTTCCACGTCTCCCCTAATCAGCATTTGTTTATTGATTTAAGAAGCCAAACGGGGGTTGCTAATCCTTTTACTCATGCCTCCCATAATTATCGCTTATTTGAAAGTGAAGAAGGGGTGGAAAAATTGGAAGAAGATTTAGATACCAAAAAAATGGCCGCATGCTTCCGGGCTGGCCAATTAGATAAAGAAATCTCTGATGGCCAAAAAGAAATAGATGATAAGCAAAAGGAAATTGATGGTAAAGATGCTGAAATAAAGACTTTAGTGGGGGAAATTTTGAGTAAAAAACGAGAAAAGTTGAATTCTTATAATATTGCTAAAGGATTTGCTAAAACTACTAGCGAGGACAATAGACGTGATATAATGGAATTACTTGACCTGAACCAATTACTTTTAGAAATCAGATATTTAGAAAATGATGGAGATGCTACTTCCATAAGCACAGTAGACGCTGAAAATACCGCCCTAACTGAAATAGAAACCATTTTAGCAGAGGCGGGCTATAGTGGAGGACAAACTACTTACTTAGTCTTGCAATTCCGCAGTTTAGCCTATATCGATGGTGGGGATGGTAGGTATGACATTCAACAGGCTATTAGCCGCATAAAAGCTGGTAAATACACAGATAAAGATGGAAAAGAGGAAAATGTTTCCAGTTGAGGGGATTTAGCCAAATTTAAGCAGCATTTTGAGAATAAGGAAAAGTTGGTCAAATTAGATAAGTGAGAAAACGAGGCTCTAAAAGCCATTGAAAAAGCCTTAAATCAGGATGATAATCAACAAGAAAATTTAACTGATTGACAATCCAA